AGATTGTTGAGCTGTAGCAAATAAAAATCTCATTCCTTGTTTAAGAAAGCAAATGGTGTTCAAATACCTCCCACGCTCGCAAAGAATGAACACATGCACAGAGAACTACACTCTGCACATTCACAGAAAGCCTTTTACTGGTGCCCTAACAGTGCAGTCCTAAGGACACTTTCCTGGGAGTAAGCCCTGTTGAACAGACTGTAGTAAAATTCAGAGTAGACTTGCTTAGGATTGTTCTCTAAATGGCTAGTAAATGTGATAGTTCCAAGTTCAGTTTTGGTGGTGGCAGAACTGAAGGGGAAGGCTAAAGGTGCCTTCTCAGACATACACAAACACTTTTCCTAACAGGACTGGGCCCTAAGCAGCGGTTTCATGTATTGTTTTAACTGAACCTCTATGCTCTTGTTAAGAGCAGACATATATTCATTGATAGAGGCATGTAAAAGTGCCCTAATTGAATTTTTATTCAAATTTATCTCTTTTTTAAAACAATTTTTATGGTGGCAGAAGATCCTTTCTGAGTTTTAGCTGCAGTTAAATAGACTAGGTCAGGACAGAAACTTGTATAATATCAAGATATATTCAGCATTTCTTTTTAAAAGGAAAAAATGATCTAAAATCTATTGGAAGAGCTCTGAGACGGAAATCGTGAGATCTTCCTGGTATTTTGTGGCAAGCTGTTGCGGCGATGAGTGGCTTGTGCTCATTAAAAGAGATTGCTCCTTGATAAATCTGATCACTTGTTTATAATATCCGAACTGCGGGTCTGCTGTTCTCAGAGCAGTCCTAGTGTCACGAGAGTGGGACCTGGCAGCCTCAACAGTAGCTTCATAATTCTTAGGGAATGGTGTTGCTGTTGGACTCGAGAGGCACAAATGACATCTCACTGAAAAAAAACCGTGCATCTGCGGTGCAGTAATGAAGAGCGGGGTGTCGCGCAGAGCGTGTGTAGTGGTCCCCAGACCAGTCTAAGCCAAGACAGCACCTTAGCAGACTTTCCAGCCTCCCAGCTCTTACCAGTTCTTTGCTGTTCTGTCCCTCTATAGTAACCACACTGCACAGTCCGAAGCACAGAGCGTTATGGTAACACCTGTGCATCTGTACTGTTGGCCAAGACAAATTCCTCTTTGTAAAGCACAAGAGAAAACCTGCCTGAGCGCCGGTAGCAGCAAAATAGCCTGTGAAGTATTTTGCACTCAACCTTTGATGCTGCTTTGTGGTGTTTCGATATTGCAGTTCCCTCTCCTGGAAGTTCCACCACCTTGTATTTATTCAGAGCTATCATCACTCAGTTTCTGTGGATAGTATTACCACTGACTGAAAACAGGACCATCCTGACAAGTGCAGAGGGGGCAAACTCAATACATCGATTCATATCATTTAACACACTATCTCACATATCTGCCACTGTTGTCACCCAAGACCTTAGTTTAAAATTGGCGTGTTAACAATGAAACTGATCTTTGGTTCTTCAAGGAATTTGTACCCAAGTTATTACCTGTTGGAAGAAGCATAGGGCATTACCCCAAATTCCTAATGAGACAACCTCTAGGACTCTACATGCCTTACAGGTGTGTACAGGTGGTGAAGGATCATATGTGCTGGCCCAGTCCTTTCCATATATACACGTTTCGTAACTTGTATGAATAAATTAGGTATTTCAGATGCCACCTATAAATAACAGTTGGAAGCACTGCTTTCTGGGAGACGTAGTCTGGTGTGACAGGAAGTAGGAGGGAGGAGATTTAACCTGGACCTTGTCTGTCTTACTAAGTGATGTGGCAGTTGTACCTAGCTCGGAATTAAGGTTGCCAAAATAAGGTTGGAAACTTGATGGGGATGGGGGAGTTGCAGTTTAGGGAGGGGAGGGAACTCATTGGAGTGTAATGCCATAGAATCCATCCTCCAAAGCAGCCATTTTCTTCAGGGGAACTGATCTCTGCAGTCTGTAGATCAGTTGTAATTCTTGGAGGCCTCCAAGCCCCACTTGGTGGCTGGCAACCCTACATGGATCTCAAATTGTACTCAGTTGCTCAATATAACAGCAAGTTTTCATTTGAGAACAGACAACATCCTTCTGTATTCTGTAGATATGACTGGGGACTCTTTTGGTGTAGTGGTTAAGTGTGTGAACTCTAATCTGGGAGAACCGGGTTTGATTCCCCATGCCTCCACTTGCAGCTGCTGGATGACCTTGGGCAAGCCATAGTTCTCTCAGAGCTCTCTCAGCCCCACCTACCTCACAGGGTGTCTGTTGTGGGGAGGAGAAGGGAAAGGAATTTGTAAGCCACTCTGAGACTCTGAATGAAGGGTGGGGTATAAATCCAATCTCTTCTCCTCCTCCTGTCCCTAATTGTGTATACAGTTCAAGCAGTCCTCCATATTTCTGATTTTTATTATTTTCTCTGGTGCAATCATTTTTTTTAAGTTCAGATATTGCTGTAGTTGTCTGGTTATCATATGCAGTCCAGACATGTAGTTTTCCATCCCGTGGTGGTCTTAGCCTGGCAGGTCTGTCTTTATGTCGTACTGCTAAATAATTTTTTTTAGACAGCACTCTGTTCATAGAAATAGAATGGTTACTGTTTCAGAAAGGTCTTGCACAGCTTCCTTTTATTCCAGTAAGAAAAAAAATGTGGAAAACTTGATGGTGGCAGTATACTGTGGGGGGGGGGAAACAACCTCAAAAACCGGTTGGGAGGGCTCTTTCACCTGCATGTGAATGAGCTCTAAGAAACTGTCCCCTTTAAGAAAAGCTTCCTTTGTATTGGCAAGGGGAATCGAGTATGAAGAGCCAGCCCTGGAAACATACGGCACTGTGGATGAGCTTTGTGTGTGACTGTGCAGGATCAGAGTCTAGGCACTATTTATACTGCAGCATATTCAGCACCAGATTGTGAAACTTTAATACTGAAACAGTGGCATGATTTCGATGTTTTGTTCTCTTTATGCCCCATTTTTTTAGGCATTTAATGTCATGCAGTGTATTCCAAAACATTGCATGATGAGGTGCCCAGTAGCTTGATCTTGGAATGTTAGCTGGGAATGTTAGTTGAACGAAATCCCAGTTTTATTCTTTTCACCGGTTTTGATAGTGAAATGTAAAATTCCAGAATTAGAGAAAAGCGAGCAATAGCGTTAGTGGACTATTATAATTTTACCAATCTGTCTTCAGAAATTTGCTTTTGGCCATAATAGCTGGGATGCTTCCAGACTTGCCTGGCAGAGGAGCGGTTGATTGACGCCTTCAGTCTGTTCTCTTGATTAGCTAAGGCAGGAAGCAGAATCAGGTACAAGTGGCCTCTGCTTGCGTCTCTGGCTGTTTCCTTTCTTACAGTCAAGGATATTTGTTGCTGTTTTTGAACTTTCAGGGTATTAGGGTATCTAATGGAAGAGTAAGGGACTTTTCTGTTTTCTACTTAAGTGTAAGGGCCATTGAGGATGTGGAGAGAATTTCCTTTTCTCCCTGCTGTTCTCTCCAGCCTGCACTGAGAATGGTGATAGATCTAGTGGAGAAATGTGACAGACATAGTCCTCTGAAAGGACTTGGGGTCCCCTGAGACCGCTTTCCTGTGTGGTCTCCATCACACTGAATTTTCTTTCCCTTCCAAGTAGGAAAATGCTTCTTCTTGATTTAGGGCTGCAACAGCGAGCACCAGTTGAAAATGGGCATGTTTATTTGTTGTCTTCCTTTTGGCCTATGATTTTGAGAGCACTAAGGGACGATTCACACACTACAAAGGCCTCGTGGCCATCTTGAGGACTTTGTATCGCAGATGCAATGGGAGTTTTGTGCTTCCCAGACACAAGCAGGTTGGATCCTAATACTGACGGGGCTGTAAATGAGGTAGGGACTCAGCATCTCTGTGCTTTTTTTGTGTCCTGAAACTTCTCAGGGAAGCTGCTGTTTACTCCATTGGAAAAATTATGGCACTCTCGTGGCTGTGTGCAGTTTTCATAGCAAAACAAATGACAGATTCCCAGGACAGTTTCAGGATATGGACATGGTATGAGGAGGAGGACAGCCCTTTCCACGTTTGGTCATAATCAGAGCCTGGCCTATGTGGAACTGGGGGGTACAAGATACAAGGACTCTGTAATGTAGGAACTGGCCCTTGGAACCGGCATGGATGGCCAAAGTCCTAATTTTTCTCCTCCCTGTCATTTTCTATACAATGTAACCTCTTACCCTGGACTCTGTTTAAGAATAGAGGGAGTTCAGTGATTATAGGTGTGGTGACCCAGGCAACCGTCAGTCCCTAAATGTTTTTCCTTGTCCAAGAACGTTTCCATAATCCTGATGAAAAGCAAGACACTACCTAAAGATTGGGGGGGGGGAGGCCACATTCATGGCAATGCAGAACTTTCATTTAGCTAAGAATTCCCTATGCCATACATTCTATTTTCCTGTAAAAGACTTTGCTGCTGTTTACAAAGTGCCTTGTCTAGATTCAGTGGTCAAGTACAAAATTGGCTGCTGTTGTCAAAAGAAAACATCCAATTGCTTTCTGCACCTTTTATCTTGGCATAAACTTAAATTAGCAACGTGTTTACACTGGAAAAGCCTTACTTGGGACCATAATTGGGTTATAACTTGTGTGACTACACTAATGTACAAAACATGTATCTAGTGTTAGTGATGTATAGAACTCTAACTATATATATATAGAGAGAGAGAGGGAGAGACTTTTTTTCAATTCAGAAGCAAAATGTGGTTTCTCTGAAATGTTGTGCAAGCTGTGAAATGAGGACCATTTCTTTCTGATGATTTTTACACCTTAGAACATTCAGATTTTAAGATAAAGGATAAGAATTAGGGGGGCTCGGGGCTCCGAATCTGTATAGGAAACAACTTGAACAGTTGTCGCTGAACAGTTGTCAGAAGACAATTTCAGTGTTAAAATAAACCACAGTTTTCCTCAACAGAGAGTTAGATATTATTTAGTGAACAGTGGATTCTGTGGTGTCCGTGTGTTGTTCATGCTGCGCTTTCTTTTCAGGTATAATCAAACTCGGGAGATGGAATCCTCTTCCCCTCAGTTATGTGACAGATGCACCTGATGCGACAGTTGCCGACATGTTACAAGATGTCTATCATGTTGTGACACTGAAAATTCAATTACAAAGGTGGGTATTTCTGAACATCTGCCCTCCTCGATTCTCTGAGCTGCTCTGTCGATCACAGCATTACTACTGAGATTAGCACATCCTGTCTTCATTAATTCCTGGGCTTTTGTTGAAATGGAAGGCAAAATGTAGCAAGAACGCTTTGCCTGGTGGCTCTTCTCGGTCAGTATGCTTACCGTTTCTTTGCCGGAGAACCAACACAGCCAGTCACTCAAGATTCTTAAAAGGGGACTTTCCACAGTGCCAATTTAATAGTTCCTCCAGGTGTGTGATTAAACGCTTTGCATATTTATATGAGAAAAATAAACACCTCTGTTGTTTGTAGGGCTTAGTCAGAAAATTCAGAGCCTCAGAAAGCTTAGGTCCTTATTTTGCCTCTTGCTGAGACACTGTGGCAAAGAGCTAAATATATGAGTCCAGTAGCACCTCAAGACCAACAAGGTTTTCAGGGTATGAGCGTTGGAGAATCAAAGCTCCTTTCATCAGATACCCTCTCAAAAGTTCATACCCGGGACATCTGGCCACTGGTCTTGTTTCTAGCTGTTCTGTTGCAAACCAACACGGCCAGCCACTGAAACTATCTCTTCATGAATGGCAAAGAGCCAGTTTCACGCAGTGGTAGGCAATAGAAGCGATTGTTTCCATGTGGTCCTGCACCCAGCTATCTGTGTACTTTTGGTTTCACTGGCCTTAAAAATATACTGTGATTGAATACTGGGTTGCTGCAGGAGGGAATGGCTTAAATGGCCAACTTTTGTTTGAGATGAAGAGGGTATCTTGTCATGCTTGGGTGCTCCTCTTCCCATCATCCTAGGAGGCGGGAAATAGATTGCTCTTTCCATCTTTGAAGGGGAAGTGCCCTCCCTCTTCAGTTCTTTTCCTGCCTCCTCAGAGAGTGCACAGATTCTTTGAGCTCCATGGAACGAACACCTGATTCCCACAGTGTGGATAGATGGCAAGATGTTTCCCTGTCATGTGCTGAACCCTCCTTGTCTTCATGTTTAAAGGCTGAAGCATGAAACTGTATCTCATGTTCACAAAGCTTTATAGCTATTACACGTGAAAAGCATCCTGACTATCTTTGCAGGAGAAGCTTTTCATCTGTTTGTTCTTCTGTTCCCTGTTTTTGCAGTTGTTCAAAGTTGGAAGACCTGCCGGCAGAGCAGTGGAATCACGCCACAGTCCGCAACGCCTTAAAGGAGCTGCTTAAAGCAATGAACCAGAGCACATTAGCCAAAGAATGCCCCCTCTCTCAGGTTGGTGCTTGCGTTAGTGGCAGAGGCACCAGCCTCAATAAAATTTTCGAGGTGAAATAAAAGGCATGACAAGAATTTTGAGGCACTTGTATCATGTGCTTTTACAAACAAACACGTGCATTGACAGAGCAGGACCAAAGGGAAGGTCCATAGATAGCAACAGTGGAGGGGTGGTAGGAGGCTAAGCGGAAAGGGTCAGTGCTTGTCCCACTGTTCTTTGGAACATATTTAGCTCTGAATCATGTGTGGCATGTTAAATGTTCTACCATTCTTCCCCAACAGTGTTTTCAGCTAACCTGTTGGGTACGTCTTTGGTGAAGCTGTTGTTTGGTGTAGCCAGTTTGGTGTCGTGGTTAAGTGCGTGGACTCTAATCTGGGGAAACCCCACTCCTCCACATGCACCTGCTGGATGACCTTGGGCAAGCCGTAGTTCTGTCAGAGCTGTTCTTGAAAAAGAGCAGTTTCTGTCAGAGCTCTCTCAGCCCCGCCTACCTTGTTGTGGGGAGGGAAAGGGAAAGGAGTTTGTAAGCCGCTCTTGAGACTCCTTTGGGTAGTGAAGGGCGGGGTATAAATCCAATCTCCTCCTCCGTTGTCTTCTTCTTCTTCTTCTCTGCTTTCAGATACTTTGGCTATAAAATCCCCTCAAGCCAGGCATCTCTCTGTCCACCCACACAAATGCACACAACATTTTTCAAAATTGATAAAATCTGTTCTAGTGAACACCATCACCAATGTATTGACACTAATAGGCTGCATTCTGATCTTTCCCAAACTGATTACATCTTTGACTTACATCTTGCAAAGTGCATATGCAGCAATATTTGGGGGGGGGGCATCATAGCAGTGTAGCAGTCACTTATTTTGCAGTTTTGAATATAGTGCAGAACTTGCAGGGTGATATCACCTTTTGTGGACTGGGATAAATGTGGTGCACACAGAGCTGGAAGTGGAGGGGCACTGAGGACCCCAGGAATTCCTTTGGCTATTCCTGTGGCTCTGGCAGTAGTCAGGTTCCCAGGGTTCAGTTATGCAGGAAACATATGTGGTTCGTCTGTGGAAGGACTACCGTTGCCAAAGCAACGTGTACTCTTCCCTCATGTTAAAATAAAAATGTTCCTGCAGGGAGAAGTTGTGTGGTGCCATGGACTTTAGACATTTCTCTGGTTATGATCTGTTTCTAGCGCAGAGCAGTAAGGACATCAGAGAAGCCAATGTTGGATCAGGCCAATGGCCCATCTAGTCCAACACTCTGTCACACAATGGTCGAAAATACCAGGTGCCATCAGGAGGTCCAGCAGTGGGGCCAGGACACTAGGAGCCCTCCCACTCTTGTCCCGCCCCCCAAGCACCAAGAATACAGAGCATCACTTGCCCCGGAGTCCCTATCTATTTTTGTTGTTGTTCAGTCGCACAGTCGAGTCCAACTCTTTGCGACCCCATGGACCAATCATGCCAGGCCTTCCTGTCTTCCGCCGTCCTCTGACCTCCTGTGGCAGTGAATTCCATGTGTTAATCACTCTTTGGGTGAAGAAGGACTTCCTTTTATCTGTTCTAATTATCTGTTATCAGTCTTCATTTTTCGCATGGAAATATTCAATATGTGGTGCTAAAGGTATTTCCCAGTGCCTGGTTTCTGTGTGTTTGGATTGGCCCTGAAAAGGCGTTGAGATAAGCCATTCAGAGGCTGCTGCTTGTACCTAGTGCAGGGACCAGTCAGGAGGGGAAGGAGAGAAGGACAGCACAGACCAGAGAGGAGAAAACCAGCCCACAGCTTTATTGGCCACACATTCTGTCGGCCTTGGAGCAGCATCAGTGAGGCCACTGATAGCTTGGCCACTGGCAGTGACCCCCCCAGCCTGCCTGTTGGGAATAACCAGGGAAAGAACCAGTTATAAGGCAAGAAGTGGTAGAAGCAGCTGTTCGTGCCCATCACCAGCTTTTTTGTGGGTGGGGGCGGGGCGGAGGTCAGCATGTTGTCTTTGTGGGTGGACACATACCTCAGAGTCCATTGGGGGACTATCTTCCTTTTAGGATCATGCGGGCAGCCTACTCCTGCACAAGTCTGTACTGTGTTCTTCAGCGCAATGCCTGAACACCATCCAGTAAATATGCAGATTTAGCAGTCCACGCCATAAACATAGATTATCTCTTTGCTACAAGGAAGATGACCCCCCCCCGGTGTCCTTGGCCAATCACAACCTTTCCCGTTGCATCTTTGATGCCATAGCAAAGACCAGCACCAGAGTAGTAGATCTCAGGGCAGGAGGGCAGGATTGCCATCAGAGGTAGAGCTGACTCCACTCATCCCTCTTTAAAGATGCATCATGAACCAAAGAGAAAGCACCTGGCCCCCTTCACCCCCAGTGTCCCACAACCAGCAAAAGGGGGGCAGGGCTGTTGTTGGTGGCATTGGACCCTTGGGCAAGAGCTGACACGAGGCACGAGCGGCCAAGTCATCTTGCTCCCTCTCCCCCTCACTCAAGCTCAAGAGATGCACCTAAGGCAGGTAGCTGGACTTTGTGATGGAATATCTTTGCACTGCAGACGTGCCGAAGCCTGTGTTATGAGAATCTTCTGGGAATGTAAGAATTTTTTTTCTGTTTCAGCAGGCTGTTAGTGGCTGTGGTTAGGAGGATACATGTGGTGCTGGGGGCTCTACCATTTGTTGGCCTTTATTTAGCAGACCAGAAGGTTGGTAGCTCAGCAGTTCGAGACACCAGTGCCGCGTGATGGAGTAAACTCCCGTCTCTGGCCCCAGCTCCTGCCAACCTTGCAGTTCGAAAGCAAGAAATTGCAAGTAGATAAATAGGTACCGCTTCAGTGGGAAGGTAACAGTGTTCCGTGCACCTCGGCGTTTAGTCATGCCGGCCACATGACCACAGAAACATCTTCGGACAGCGCTGGCTCTTCGGCTTGGAAATGGAGATGAGCACCACCCCCCAGAGTTGGATTCGACTAGCTTTGAGCAACAGAAGCCAGAAGCAACAACAGGCCCACCACCTGGGTGCCGGTAGGCAGCCCCGCCCCCATCTCATGTGGCCCTAGTTAGGGATTAAGCGTTCTTAGAACCCATTACATGTAAACCGCCCAGAGACCCTTCGGGGTTAGGGCGGTATAGCAAGTCGAAAGTATAAATAAATAAACAGAAACCTTTATAGATTCAAAGATTAGAAAAAAGCTAGGTAAGGAGTTGCAGGTGAGCAATGATCTGGGAAGGATTAACTGCACCCCTAGAGTTGGATTCGACTGAGCACCGCACCCCTAGAGTTGGATTCAACTGGCTTTTGAGCAAGGGAAACCTGTAGATGTAGCTATATATAATGCCTAAATAAACAAAAAACTCAGCAAAAATGATTACTATTATTATAATCATTTTTGCTGCTTGGACTCTTTATGCCCCACTAATGATTTCATGATATCGATACCAATTTTTTAAGCAAAAGACTGGTCTTCACTCCTCTGTGCATGATGGGAAAAAAAGTTTTAAACTGTGACCCATTAATATGAGAGGCAAAAAGTTGTAAGGAAACTTGAGATTGCATTGGCTGGCTTGATCAGTGTGATAAATTAATTTGAACCCTTCCATTGCAGTGTGTTTGTTTAAATCTTCCCCAAAATTTGTATTATGTTGGGCTGACGGGCAAAAAGTATACTACACAAGGAACCTTCTGCCACTTTGAGGAACTTTTGCCTAAGAGTTGTGTAGCAGATTTTGGAAGACTGAACAGAGTGCTATTTTTGGAATGCTGAACTTGGTGCTCTCTCTCTCTGAACAGTGTATACAGGCTTTCAGATTCCTAATAAACTTGGGTGTTATCTGGAAACCTGGTTTTAATTGTTGTAATTAAGTTCTTAGTTCCTTCTTGACTTCATAAAGGCTACCGGAACACATCACTTTATCACCACATATGCAACAGTGAATGACTCAATCAGGAAACTATTGCCAAGTAATTTACAGTAACAGAGAGTAATAATGCCTTATGTGTTTGAAATAAGAATCCTATTTGTGTTTATCTCAAACCTTTAACATACTTTGAGAAATTCAGTTGTAACATGATGTGCCTTACTCCTGTCAGGTATGCCGTAATGAATTGTCACTCAGGATATGATAACAGTATATTTATAAAAGTGATTTTTCTTTCTTTCTTTGAACCATAAAATAGTTAATATTGTTCATATTTGAAGAACCTTCATATCTGAGAAGGCAGGTCAGTCTCAGATTCCCGGCATCATTTAGAATTTTGTTCTACCTTTAGGGGTTTTGACCACAGCTAATAATATATTCTAAAATAGCTTTGCAAACTACTAGACTGGGAATGTTTTTGAGATATCGCATGCCATAAAACGTCTGTATAAATTTTCATCATCTGATGAAGTTGGCTTCAGCACGTCTTTGTCAGAATTATCTGAAGGGGCGCCATGACTTCGAAGGTTATGTCTTATATGAAACAATGTTCCTGTCCCGTCGCCCAACCTACCAGTCAAGATCCACTTCACGAATCCTGCTGTGTGTGCCCTGCCTTCAGAAGGGAGGCTTGGTGGCAACTGGAGACAGGACTTTCACAGCAGTGGCATCCCTCGAGGCCCATCTGGTGCCTATACTACTTGAGGCTCATCTGGTGCCTACACCCGGCCCGTAGCCAGTGTTCCCTCTAAGCTGAGTTAGTGTGAGCTAGCTCACAGTTTTTTAGCCTACAGCTCACACATTTTTGTCTTAGCTCAGGAAGGAGGACTCCAGAGCAAACTGATTTACGCAGCAGCCCAATCGCTGGCTCACAGCTTTAATGCCAGCAGCTCACGAAATAGAATTTTTGCTCACGAGACTCCGCAGCTTAGAGGGAGCATTGCCCGTAGCCAGGGTTTTTTTTAGTTTGGGGGGCCTTTTAAAAAGTTGGAGAGCACTGGAATTCATGCGCGGCTCCTGCTTCTCCTCCAAAGCATTTAAAGGCTCCCTTTAATGCTTTGAGGGAGAAGCGGGGGCCGCGCGCCTGCACTCCAAG